AGTACATTACTGGCACAAAATTACTGATGATATTTGTGCCGAAGATAGCCAGTAATATTTTTCTGTAAAAAACGTCGTTCACATTCCAGAGAGAGAGAGTATTGTATTTTTTCATTTACTTCTTTAAATATCGTCGAAATTTTGAATATAGAGATAGAGTTTACTTATGTTTCTGAAATAGAGGATAATTTAATAATTAAGTCTAATAGCTTTGCAGTCTGAGTGCAGGAGCTGCGAACAAAGAGATCACGAGTTCAAATCCATTCGACACCTTAGAATTTTTTCCGAGTTGATCCCTTCTCTCGAGTATATAAGCTGAAAAGCGAACAGTATCAGGCTTTCAAGAAGAAATAAGAATAAAAAATATTTCTTACAGAAATGCTGAGTTATATTACTATTGCCAATATACTAGTATTTTAGTAATAAAATTGTTCTATTATTTTTCTGTAAGAGTTCTAAACAATTACCAAATTTTTTTCAAAAAATATTAATGTAAAAGATATGGTTTTTATATTCTGTAAAAGTTCTTGGGGTGTCCTACACATATCCTGTAAGAATCCTTGGAACGTCCCACATATATATAATAGCCTAAGGATAATTCAGGGACTAAAAAGAGCGCTCATTTGCTCTTCCTTAGGACATCCAGAAGAGATCCTGGGATTAAAATAGGATATCCACAGGATATCTGTTTCGTCCGTATAAGATATCCTTTGAATTTTCAAAGGACGTCCATGTGCTATTTGGGTACAGTCCCACACAGACATCCATCCATCAAGACTTTCATTAGACATCTATTAAACGTCGCATGGAGCTGTCGACGTCTAATAGATGTCTAATAGAGTTTTTGTTTTGTGTGGGGTGTCTACTAACAGCTGATTGCTGTTCATAATTTATTTTAAATAAAAACTGCGTTAGCCAATCTTGTACGCAATTGTCTTCCCGTTTGACTTACATAAAAAGCTTCACAAGAAGAACAATTGATTTTGTAGAGAATGATGGCAAGAAGACCTGTTTTTTTGCCCATTTTTTGGTCCTCAATTTTCAAACTTTTTTTTATGCCAAATAGTAGGGTAAGTTGCCCAAATATAGAATATTTTTTGTTGATTACCTGTTTTACCTACTTGCCGAATTTTTATAAGAACATAAATACTATGTATTTTTAGGACATTTCAAATGGTGCCCTTTCAAATCGTGGAAGCAAAAGTTTAAATTTAACAGTTTAAGAGATATCTATTGTTTTCTTTGAAGTCGTTATTTCTCATGTTAAGTTCATGGTGTACCTATTATGGAATACTATATGTCTGTTCGTTTTACNTGAACTGGCCGCTCTAGGTCAGAGTTTATCTTCTTTACTCTACGTTGGAAAAAGAAGGATAAACTCTGACCTAGAGCGGCCAGTTCAGGTAAAACGAACAGACATTATATGTGCCTAATATGGAATAGCATATTATGTAGAATTTACACTTTGAAAGAAGAAAAATAACGATGTAACACAACTACTTTTATTTAATTAACATATATTTTAATAATAAATATACAAATAACTTTAAAAATCATTTATTTATTTTGTGCAAATAAATATTTTTTTATTATTAGAGTTTACACATTTTTTGTGACTTCAATTTTTGCATTTATTACATTGAATCCAATCTCTATCAGAAGTCTTACTTAAACTCTATAATCTTCCGCAGACCATACACTCTGCATTATCTTTGTCAAAATTTTCTTTGATGTTTGAATTTGATTGGACATTTCAGATTCTTTTTTCTTTGTCATAGGTTAGGTTTCTACAAACAAGTGCCTACTCTATTTCCAGAGAAAATACTGGCTTTCTTCCCAGACGATTATTTACAATAATCTCAATTGAAAGATTTGAATTAAGTTTTAATTGTTTTACTAAACAAAACAAAATTCCTCTGGGAACCGAATGCTTTTGCGTTGCTTTTAAAACTCCCATTGTTTTATCAATAACCGCTTGTATCGCCAAAGCCATATGTTTGTGATTTTCAGGGGTTGTCGATACAAACAAAATTAAAGCACTGATATTTTATTATGTTCGTATTGTTGTACGAGAACTCGGCCTTTATCAATGTTCGTTTATGAGGACTCGGTCTGTCTTAATGTTTCGCTTACCAGAACTCGGTCTCTCTCAATGTTTCGCTTACGAGGACTCGAAAAAATTAATTTTTGATATAGGTAATTAATTTTTGATATAGGTTATTTGTTGATCGTTTCTTACAAACGACTGTGTTGTTTCACGTCGTTTTTTGTTCGTCGGATGGTGGCGGGGCGCGCCCATCCGCACCAATTGCATGAGAATTGAATGTATTCTACGAAACGCATCATTTTTCGTAGTACAATATTAATCGATTGCGCAGAGTAGTGGGCCCATCTATGTGTCATCTTGTACATCACATACTCCCCTCGTTGAGAGAGTACCGATCAACTTTGAGCTGTTTATACGTATTACATAGAAAATGTTTACAATGGTAACATGTTAGTTTGTATTTTGTGGTTTGCTCCTTTGCGGAAACAAATTATGATTCGATATGTAACGGACATACATATTTTGTCGCTCGTTTGAATTCTTCGGTTGCAGTTTTCACCGTTATTGTTCGCACGGTCCCGTTTTTGCCTGGATAGGTTTTTACGATTTTACCTAGCACTTATTGAGTATAGAAGAGAAGTTTTTCTCTTTGAGAAGCACGATTGTGCTAATTTTTGGTTTAGTTTCTTCCTTGATCCATTTATTGCGAACCTGAAGTTCATTGAGGGACTTGAGACTCCATTGTGCCCAAAAGTTCTGCCGTACCTTTGTTATGTGCTGCCAGGTAAACAAACGGTTGCCTGGGACAAAGGAGAAATCATTCTCTGGTAGACTAGTGAGTGATTTGCCGATTAAACAGTGTGCGAGAGAAAAAACTAAAGGATTGTTAGGGTCGGACCCCCCCGAATGGGTTCCCACCTTGTAGTAGCTCCGAGGCGGGAGCTCGGGACTCGCGGAGCGCTCGATGCGCACGTGGTCTGGCCGCCTCGCAGTAATTACACGGAACGTTACTTTGTTCCCAGCATGCTGGTGACGGCGTGGCCGGGCATTGATCGTCAGCTCCTCTCTGGACGCTGGCGGGTTTGCCTGGTAGTGTCATCACAATGGAAGTGTAATCTGACGGGACAACAATTGACCACAGAAAGTGAGCATCTGGTGTCCTCGGGGGCTGTGGGCTCTCGCGCCGGAGCGGGTGGTGGGGCTTAAGGTCGCGGGCGGTGGTCATCCGCTCAGGGATTGGCCCGTCTGAGACTAATTAAGAGGAACCCCCCAAGTTAAGGTGTGAGCGACCGTGCCGAGAGCTGGGTGGCGCAAGGGGAGTTGCGTCGTGAACGGTGCCTCCTGGATATCGGGCGAAATCCAGGAGTACGGAGCCAAGCCCCAGCCACTCGCGGCTCTGGCTGGGTGAGACCGCGCGACCGCTCTCGTGGGAACAAAATGGAGTTTAATAAAAATACAATCACCCCCAAATCAGTCTCCAAGGGCAAAGCCTCTTCTAGAGGTAAACGCCCAGGGGAATCTTGCAGTGCGGGAGCGGGCTCAGAAGCCCCAAAATACCGCATAAGATATAGCGAGACCGCTAGGCGCCGTTATAATAAAGAGATGCTAGCCAGGAAGAGTGGGGGCAATAAGGCCCCCTCTATTCCCGCAGCCTCTTGCTCAAAAGGTGGAGCTGGGGGTGGCGCGGCAAAGCGCGCCAGGCCGGAGCACACTACTCCCAGCCCCTTAGAAAATCGCCAGGGCAAGAGACTCAAAAATGAGGGGTCGTAATCACAGGTGACAATAGGACTGGTTAGGATGGCCCTCGTACTGGAAGGCTACCCTGACAAGAAAATAGGAACCAATGAGGTGGTTGAGATCAAGAAACTGATCAAGACTCTTATTTTTGGCATGTCCGAAAATGACAAAGCCCCCACCTTCACCGGTTCCTGGGAAAGGGATGGCGCACTCATTGTTGTGTGCGCCAATAAAGAGTCGGCGGAGTGGCTTAAGGTCCACTCTTCCGAGGCAAAAGTCAGGGGAATTTCTCTGCGTGTGCTGCCGGTCGGTGAGCTACCCGGGTGGTGGTGCATGTGGAGGAACCTGACATAGATGTTGAGGAGGCTCTAAAGCTCTTCAACCAACAGAACACAGGGCTGGCAACCAGTGAATGGGTCGTCAATAAGGGGACGTACAGTAGGGACGCCTTGAGCGCCCACTTCTCCTGCCTGGCGACTCGGCACTGAAAGCCTTGAAGCACTGTGGCTTCAGGCCTTTTCTCAGTCTCGGCCGAGCCGCCGTTAAGGTGGCGGGACGGGAGCGCGGAGAGGCGACTAAGAAGAAGAAGACGTCGGAGGATGTTGAGACTGCCTAAAAATGGCTCCTCCTGGCATCCAAATGACCCAAATTAATTTGCACCACAGCAAAAGCGCCTCGGCTATCTTAACCAGGAGCATGGCTGTGATGCATACAAGTATTGCACTAATCCAAAAACCTTGGATTGTAAACAGTGCAATAAAAGGTCTGAGTGGGTGTGGCTGTTTATACAAAGCACACTCGGAAAAAAGAGTAAGATCTTGCATAGTGGTTAAAGGACTAAATGCTATCTTTCTGCTACAGCTCAGCAGCGAGGACCTCACAGTCATCAAGGTGAGAGTAAAGCTGGCTGAAGAAGAGGACATGGAGGTACTCATAGGGTCAGTCTATATGCCCTACGACTCCATGGACGATCCACCACCGAAAGAAGTAAAAGCCCTGGTAGCCTATGCAAAGGCCAGGAGGCTTGAACTCCTGCTGGGTTGTGATGCAAACTCCCATCATGTAGGATGGGGAAGTGCAAACATCAACCCGCGGGGGGAGAGTCTGCATGGCTTCCTAGTGGGCACAGGACTAACCATTCTTAACAGAGGAAACGAGCCGACATTCCTGGACTCCAGAAGACAGAGTCATTGATATCACGGTTTGTACGGAGAGGATGGCGGGTTTGATGAACGACTGGAGGGTCTCGAATGAGCCCTCTGGCTCTGATTACAGACAAATACGCCTAACTTTTCAGCAACTACCGCAAATCAGCTGGGTTCGTAACCCACAAAAAACCAACTGGGAGGGCTTTAGGGCTGATCTTCAGGCGCAGCTTGTTGAGCCCCCAACCAGTTTCAGGACCAAAAATAATTTGGAAAATGCGGCGGACTTCTTAAAGAACGCCATTGCAAATGCCTACAAGTTAAACTGCCCACCAAAACCAAGGAGCCCGGTGACTAAGATCCACTGGTGGAACAAAGAGCTTGAAAAGCTCAGATTGGAAACGAGGAGGAAATTCAGTAAGGCAAAAAGAACTAGACTTGCAGCACACTGGGAGGCTTTCAGAAGCTCTCAACGAGAGTACAGCAAGGAAATCAAGAAAGCAAAGCACAAAAGCTGGAAACACTTCTGTGAATGCATTGAGAGTACCCCAGAGGCATCCAGGCTTCACAGAATTCTCAGCTTAGATCACCGTCTCCACCTGGGCTGTCTTAAGCTTCCAACGAGGAATGTTACTGAGGAGGCGTCGGACACATTAAAACATTTAATGGAAGTCCATTTCTCAGATTTTGACAATAACATACAACCTCGCCGGCCGAAGCCTAGGGTATATAAACCCAGGGAGTGGCGTCTGGCAGCTGAGGTTGTCCATCCAAAAGGAGTTGAATGAGCTATTAAGACCTTTAATTCATATAAATCACCTGGACCAGACGGTATCTATCCCGTCCTTCTTCAGGAGGGACTGGGGGTACTAGTCGGTTCACTTACTAAAATCTTTAGAGCAAGTATAGCCCTAAGACATGTTCCTCAGGCCTGGAGTGGTACAAGAGTGATCTTTATCCCCAAGCCTGGCAGAAATGGATATATTTCAACCAAGGATTTCAGACCGATCAGCCTTACCTCCTTCGTACTTAAGACGTTGGAGAGGCTAATCGACGGATTTTTTAAGAACGGACCTTTGCTTACACATCCACTGGCCTCTTCCCAATATGCTTACAGGGAGGGCAGATCCACGGATACTGCCTTGCACCACCTTGTGAGCGGGGTCGAGAAGCAATTGGAGGCAAAAGAATATGCCCTGGGCGTCTTCCTGGACATTGAAGGAGCTTTTGATAGCACCTCATATGATGTAATCGGGGATTCAATGACCAGACACGACATTCCAGCCGCACTAGCAGACTGGATACAAAGCATGTGTAGGATCTGAATGATTTATTTTAGTCAAAGTGGCTGAAAACCGTTGAATGTAGGAACGGTGGAACGGGAACAAAAGCAACTGTAATATTTCTGGAGATGTAAGAAATAAACAATAAAAGATCTATTATCACTATTTACTATACCGCACTTACAAATACTATTTAGAATTATACAAAATAATGTCACCGCGATCAACGATCGAACAGACTAATTAGATTGAGTTTAGCGCGCACCGTTCAGAAAGAGCAACAGGGAAAACTCTTCTCACACGAGGTACGGCACTCTTCTGCCACATGGCCTTAACCGGCGTTACCGGCTGGTCGCTTCAGCGCTGCCTGTTCGACTCTCGAGGAGTCATTACAATCGATTAATACTATCGACTTTTACAGCTATCGCAATGAGTTAACCCTTTCGGATGTAAGAGGTCGCTATTATTGAATAAATTTAAATTAATTTTCCTACACATGCTAACAGGAAGAACCCTGATTGCTAATCATGGGGATTCAAACGTGCATGGTTTTCCCGCCAAAGAATGCCCGCAGGGAGGAATTTTATCCCCCCTGCTGTAATGCTTGGTCGTGGACGAACTTTTATATAAATTACAGAAGACAGGTTTCCTCGCGTTTGGCTACGCTGATGATGTGGCCATTATAGTGCGGGGCAACTTTCTTTCAATACTTAAGGAGACTATGGAAAAAGCCCTTAAGATCACGCAAGACCGGTGTCAATTAAAAGGACTTAGGGCTAATCCATCAAAGACCAAGGCCATAATTTTTACCAGGAAATACCAGGAAATAGTACCGAGGTTAACATATGCTGCTGTTGTTTGGTGACCCAGAGTGGAAAAGATGGAGTCAAAGAACCTACTAAAAAGCCTACAAGGTAATTACTTGAGGGCTGCGGTAGGGACTATGAGAACAACACCAACAGAAGCGCTGGAAGTAGCGCTCTGCGCTACCATTCCACCTCTAAGATTGATTATCATTGGCGCTGCCAAACTCGGATTTCTTCATAAACCTCCCTTTACCTTAAAGCAAGACAGAATATCCAGAATACGCTAAGTGGACAAGACGTTCTCCATAAACTTGACTACCAGGGCTGGAAAAACAGAAATCTTCAGATCCAGCCGGGCACTTATGCATGGTTCACTAATGGATCTGGAGCAAACGGCTGCTATGGAGCAGGCATTTACTGTCCAGGATCAAATCACAGAAAGTTTTTCTCTCTGGGTAAACTGGCCACGGTCTTTCAAACGGAAGTCTTGGCCATTCTGGAATGTGCAAGACTCCTACTCTCAAGAGAGACGAAAACTAAGAGGATCAATATCTATACGGATAGCAAAGCATCCATAGAAGCTCTTGCCAAGACCACCACTGAATCATCAGTAGTTTGGGACTGTATGCAAGCTCTAAACAGATTGGGCGAGCGAAACAACATCACGCTAGTCTGGGTACCTGGCCACCAAGGTATCCAAGGCAATGAAGTGGCTGACAAAACTGGGTACCTTAGAGGAACCAGTCTGCCAGATAGTTGGAGTTCCCTTTGCAACAGGGAAAAACCATATCAAGGACTGGCTGAAAAGGGAGCACAGGACCTTTTGAGAGATACTGAAGAGCTGCCGCCAAGCTAAGGCCCTGATGACTCAGCCATTGCCAGGTAGGACAAAGGAACTACTAACAATGAGTAAGTACAGACAAAGACTGTGTATCGGTCTCCTCACAGGGCATTGAGCCTTCAAGGCACATATATTCAACTTAGGCCTAGTTGAGGGGAGTAGTTGTAGATTCTGCGGTGAGGAAAAGGAGGACAGCGTGCACATATTGTGTCGCTGCCCGTCTCTAGCACTCAAGAGATTCAGATCCTTGGGCTCCATGTTTGTGGAGCCCGAGAACCTGAAAATAATTAAAATCGGCCATCTGTATAGCCTGGCAGCAAATGCCGAGCTTTAGCAGCTTGGTCGATAAACAACTAGCGGGAGTCGCAGAGGATCTTATAGATCTAGGTGACAATAGGGTCTCACAACTCCCTCGCTCCCTGTTATCTATCTATCTATGTAACATTTTTAATGCGCTCTTTTACCGTATGTATTGTTTTTTTTAACAATCAATATTAAATTGAGGATCTCCTCAGGCTCATGAAGTTTATTAAACTTAATAAATAAATAAATAATTAGTCTTAAAGAGCCGTTCGCAGGATGTTGTGCGGAAAATATGTCTTATATGTGTGTATACATATATAAGTAAGTGGAGTTTGTCTCCTCAATTTAATATTGATTGTTAAAATCTACGCTGTCGTAATAAGCGGTTAATACAGTATCAGAAACATCTTAATAGATGTACGAAGTATTGCGAGACAAACTCCAAGTGCCTCGGCCTAACAGGGAAGGCGACGGCCCGGAAAGCCGGAGATTCCAGGTTCGACTTCTGGCTGAAGAGTTTTTTTCGCAATATTTTAAATTAATTAGGGGGGATATTCGGGGTCTATCATATATGAGATGCAAAACTAGCATCCTATATGAATTTAAGAATTGAAATTTCAATTCGAAAAACACACGTGAAAAAACGTGAATTTACTTATATATTTGTACACACATATAAGACATATTTTCCGCACAACATCTTGCGAACGGCTCTTTAAGACTAATTATTTATTTTTTCATATTGTTTTTTTGTTTCTTTCTTTTGTCTGTATTACCGATATAATTCTGGCCGGCGATCGGCCAGACTCATTACAAGTTGTTAATATTAAATTTTAATTTAATCATCAATCAACGAGCAAGTTTCTCTGCTTTCATTTAAACACCGCCTCCTGAGCCCACGTCTCTCCGTAATTGTTATAAAACTGAGCTGCCGAGTGATGTTACCGTCACGTTAAAGTTATTTGTCGTAAAACATTTGTCTAAGTCGAGATTTTTGGAATTCGGCGTGTAAAGCCATGCCTGGCGCCCAACTATCGCATGTGGTGAGTAAAATCTAGTGTTTTTGGAAACAAACGTGCCGAAGGTGTGCGGCACCTCCGCTACAAGATCCAAGAGCGAAGTGCCCGTCACAATATATATATATATATTTATTTATTTATTTATATTTATATTCATTCTCGTTTTAATTCTCTAAAACTAGAAATCTTCATACCTGCAATTTCTTACATTAATATCCTTTACCCATTCGCTACACAATCTAAGAAATCTCCCCTTGATCTCCCTACCACAAGGATCATGTCACAAATCGGAAGCACACTCGCACGAATACGTTTGTAAAATCATATTGGTCCTACACACATTTGTGAGATTCTATCCACATCTTACATACACACACCTATCTTGCCTCTTCCGGCCTCCGAGTGATGACGCGCCGATCCTTTGTAAACATCGCGATCACACATACATATACATATCCTCACTGCAAACTAAAATTGTAATAAATATGTTGCGTTATGAATAAATATGTATTTTGCATGAGAGACCAACACATTTAATTAAAACACCTCTCATTCCCACATCCTCAATTGATCGCACGGTCCCGTCCTTAGTTATTAAAGCTAACGCTCTAGACTTAAAAAGGAACCGACGAGTGAGGCTCCACTAGACGAAGTAATATCGGCGCGTGCCGTTGACCTGTTTGTGAGTGCAAGTAAACTCGCTCGAGTCTCGTACAGAAGGTCATCTGTGTCTGTTGTGCAGAGACTTACGCAAAAACGACGGTTGTCTGTTGCGCTCCGTATTCATGGGTCAGGACGTAACAATATTATGATATATATTTATATAATATCTTATATAGATATTTTATTATATTTTATATGTGGAAAATCTTGAAAATATTAATTAATACAAAATAAATTTAGAAAAATTCTTCATCGCGGGAAATAATCAAATATGCAATTACGCTGTGTAAAACAATTTGTCTGCTTTTTATAGCAATCGACACACAATTTAATAAATGCGAGTGATGCGAAAATTGTTCGATTGATAAATCCTTGGAAGAGAAGCCAACTTAAGAGATTCGAAAGTTATTGTCTTCAGTTTTGTATTTTCATAATCGGGACGTATGCGATACATTTCCGCCGTATATACACAGTTTGTCCGGAAAGTTCCCGGACTGATTTTTTCTAGCGCGGGTAAGCGGCGCTATCGAGCGGTCAACGCTGGAACTACTTAGT